TGACGGGGACGGAGAACAGAGAGTGTCTTGGAGTGAGAGTGAGTGTGGTGAGGGAGAGGAAACGGGCGGGACAGGGGTATAGGATAAGGTGGTTTTAGCAGTAGCACGGGAAGCAAAACAAGCGCTACAGCTAAAATTTTAGTTGTAGCGCGTTTATGCAAACCGCGCTGCTACTAAAGCTAGACTCGGGATGGCCGTGTGGCCCACTTAGCAGTAGCGCCTGGCCAGTGAGAGCGTGCTACTGCTAAGTATTACCTGTAGCGCGTCCTCTTTACCTGCGCTGCTGCTAGTTAGCAGTAGCGCGCGTCCTTTTGACAAGCGCTACTGATAATGCTCCGTGTATAAGGTTTTCCCTAGTAGTGTGAGATCGCAACCGTCGATGCCTCGCCACCAGAGATCGCCGGTCCGGCCAAAAACACCACCACCACTACTGTTGCATAGTCATATACTGTGCCTCAAATCATCGCCACAAGTCATCGTCTGTAGATCGCATCTCACCGTTGAAGGGAGAGTAGAGACATCCCCGCCGCCGCCAGTGTCGGGACTTAGCCCAATCACTGGTCTAGCAGCGGCGAGGGCAAGGGAGGATGGGGAGGTAGGAGGCGGCGACTGTGCGGAAGAGAGGAGATGGACCGCGTTCAGACAAGACAGATACAATGCACATTTTTTTGTTGCTAGACTTAAAAAGTGTGGCGGCTCTTCTATCTTTTATTTTATGATAATATAGTAAATAGATAGATGGACAATTTGATGCAGTGTTACATACTTGCAGGCTCTTTGGTGAACAAGTCAGCAGCTCCGATTGATCAAGTTGAGAGTGATCGATACACACCCACACATCCAAGTTTTCATTACAATGGGAACAGAAATAAATCCTAGGCTGCATATTGTAGGTATATCCATATGATTGGATACACCAAGAGTTGCATAACATCGGCCAGTTAATTCTTCCTCAGACGTGTGTCAAACTGTCAATTCGCGCTAGCTGGACACAGCTTGTTGTTCTGCAATACTCATACTTCGTCCTTGGTTTCTCAAACTCTTCATCACATCACTAGTTTTCCTCTTCTGTATAAATTGACAACGCATCAAGTAGTTCAACATCTTCACCACAGCTCACAGCCACAGCCTCCATCAATCAATCTCTTAGCACGGCTAAATTAAGAAGCTACATTCATTTCCAATGGCGTCCATCAACTCCTACTACTCCTTGGTGTTGGTGGTGATTGCACTGGCCTCGGCGCCGTTGGCCGCCGTGGCCGGCGACGCCGACATCCTCAGCGACTTCATCGTGCCGACTTCGATGATCGGCATGCCACCAATGAACATCACCGGCGACTTCTTCACCTACACCGGCTTCAGCGCCGCCATGAACATGACCATGCCGAAGCCGATGCCCGGGACGCAGAACTTCACGGTGACCAAGGCAACCATGATGGAATTCCCTGCGCTCAACGGGCAAAGCGTGGCCTACGCCATGCTCAAGTTACCCTCCGAATCCGTGAACCCACCACACACCCATCCCCGCGCCGCCGAGCTGCTGCTCGTCCTTGACGGCGCGCTCTCCGTCGGCTTCGTCGACACGGCCGGCAAGCTCTACATGCAGGACCTGGCCGCCGGTGACATGTTCGTGTTCCCCAAGGGCCTGGTGCACTACCAGTCCAACCCGGGGCGAAGTCCCGCCGTCGCGCTCTCCGCTTTCGGCAGCTCCGCTCCCGGCACCGTGTCCGTGCCCGTCACCGTGTTCGGCACCGGCGTCGATGACGCCGTGCTTGCCAAGTCGTTCAAGACCGACCTGCCCACTGTGCAGAAGCTCAAGGCGGCGCTCACTCCACCGCCCAAGAAGTGATTCATGTGCTCTTCTTCATCAGTGTATCGACGCGGCTATGAATTAATAAGGCCCTGAGCTAGTGAGCGGGATGAACAATCCCGGCGCCGCCAAGTAGACACTTACTACTACTCCCTCCGTAAACGAATATAAGAGCGTTTAGATCACTAAATGCTCTTATATTTGTTTACAGAGGGAGTACTATGTAATAGTATATGCTTGTTGTGGGTGAGGTGTGAGTTGTGATTGTGCTGATGTGAAATTTTATCTGATCCAGGAAGTTGTACATCTGTCTGTTTATTTGATGTGAGGTCGATGGTCACGGATGCTCATGTCAAAGAACTACAGACGCAGTAGCACAAGTTGCTCTGTACAACGTAACGGCAAACAGAAATGAACAACATGAATCACACAAGTCGCGACGAGTTCCTAATTTCCTTGAAGTATCTTATATACATCGACCGGCACTGAGCCAATTGATCACAACCGTCCGTCTTCTACGCCGCCCGGGAGTGGTGGCGGCCCTCGCCCCCGCCGTGCCTCTCATGGTGCCCACGCTGCTCCTTGTACTCCGTGCCGCGGCCATCATCCCTCTCCCTCTGCGGCGCCTTGCCGTGGCGGTGGTGCTTGTGCCCGGCGTCCCTGTGCTGCACGCCGAGCGCCCCTGCATGCCGGTGCCGCTCACCGCCGTCGGCCGCCGCGTGCCTGTGGAGAACGTGGTGGTGGTGCTGGCTGGGCGCCCCGCTCCTGTGCTTCTTGTGCGCGTGCGGGTGCTTACTGTGGTGGTGACGGTGGTGGGTGTGGGCGTGCTCGTGGTGGCCTCGGCCTCCCCGGCGCTTCTGGTGCGCGGCCTCTGGCAGCCCGAACACGTCGTCCCAGCAGTCGTACAGCGGGTCGAACATGCCCTTCTGGTGGAGCAGCCACAGCAGCACCGCGACTGCAACGCCAAAAACACGGAGAAAATGAGCATTGGCGCCGTGACCATGAAGAAAAATAGCCACCTGACGAAACAAAATGCTTACGGACCTGCGGGTAGCGTGGTGAGCAGCAGGCCGAACATGACGAGCCAGCCGATGCATATGTACTGGATGTGGCAGCTCAGGTCCAGGAAGCTCGAGCACTTGGTGCTGTTCCACAGGGAGTGAAACAGATAGATGAGCTAAAATGATCAGAAAGGGTTTTTTTGAAACGGAAACTATCAGAAAGAGTAATAGGCACAGCTGAATTCGAATTACAGATAACATTATATATTACCTGCATGATCTGCCGGTGAAGAAATCGATCACGCTGTCCCACGTGTTGCGCCACAAGGTTTCGATGGCTTCGATGAAACCCCTGATGCCACCCTTCTTATGCTGCTTCGGTGGGCCGATCTACATGGGTTTCAAGGGCAGTAAGCAATGTATGTAGCTCAGAGATGGGAACAGCACGACACAATTATTTGTCATGGTAAAAAGGGGATCCAGATCGTGCGAAAACACAGATCTGTGATATCAAAAGTTTATCAAGGCAAGAGACACACTGACATCAAAGATCGGGATGAAACATTGTAGGCAACTCTAACTATCTCCCTGGGCTTGTTTTAACAGAAAACAAAAGCTAATGAATCCTAACAGGATCACTACAAGGGAACAAACATTTCAGAACCTGTGTTCCATTGTCAAGAACTGTGGCTGTAGTAGAGAATTGGCACTCTGCTCTGTCAAGTTCACTGAAATCTGACGCTTTCAAAATAGCTGCAATCGACCACAAACAAATCCCATGTTAATCCCTAAAACAGGACTTTGGATTTAAGGACAATGATGAGCTGTCTCTGGTTTCTAACTCACCCGAGCAGCGATATTTTGATGCTTGGTCTGATGAGGAACGCAAATAGAATGAGCGGATAACCACTTGGCCAGGTTTGATGATGAAGAATTGCTCCTGCAAATTAAATTGCAGGGTAGCTTCATGAGAACAAACTGAATGAGCAAATAACCAAAGCAGGGAACTGTGCTGATGAATAATTAACTGAAATGAAGTGTTGCAGCTCGTCAATCAAATAAAAAGAGAAAATACCGAGACCGCAATAAATATACCTCCACATAACTGATGCCACTTAAGCAGTCGAACTGTAAAAAGAGTAAGGCAGTCATCAGAGTTCAGGAAAACTGAGGAGGCTAAGTAAATCATCTATTACATTATTAAACTAATCGTTTTATATGTCAAATATATCTCAGTCGAACAATGTGGTTGAGGCTAAGTAAATCATCTATTACATTATTAAACTAATCGTTTTATATGTCAAATATATCTCAGTCGAACGATGTGGGTGCGTCTATGTGGGTATTCAGGTAATAGAAAGGTTATTCATGCAAGGACAACAAGGATGATGGGTAGGAAATCAGTACATGCACCTATCATCTTAGTAGAAAAGAAAATTAATGGAATTAATGAACTATCAAAAGGTAGTATTGTCTACAAATATATCAAAAGGTATTGCTTCCGTGCAAAGAAAATTATAATTTCCTTGGCGATGCATACTGTCAAGCTATATGAAGCTTCCAGTTTGCCAATGTTCTTAATTGTGACCTTGGCAGTACCAACTTGGCTTAAGGCTTCAAATGTAGGGACATTAATGTCAATTATTTTCCCTGGACTCCTGAAATTGACAAATCAGTGCAAGGGAAATGCAAAATAAAATTGCGTAATTATTATCAGTACCTCTGGTATACATAGTTTATATCATCAGCACTCAGCTCTATCAGCAAATTAGTATTCAGAGGTTCTGTGATTCCAATAGAGAATGAATGAGCTCCTGCATTCTGTGATGGGTATGTATCAAATGCTTTATCCAATGCTAGCATAAAAACAGGACTCAAGAATAAATGGTGGGAATATAACCGGGTGTTGGTTGATCCTATCAAATCTTCCCTGCACAATATACTGGGGCTCTTGGTTTCTGTTTATTCGATTGTCGTCAGACTGAAAAAAAAATGATGAAATAAAAACTCAAGACTAAACAGTTACAATATTAGCAGATTGTGCTTCACGAACAAGAAGCTCGACACTTATCCTTGCAAAAGAAAACTTAACACTTGCTAATGCACAACCTTACCTCCTTGAAATTCCAAAGCTGATTGTACAAACAGCTCCCAAATGGTGATCCACAGAGGTTAGGCTGGTTTCTGTAAGCTTCATACCCAACACCAATCTTGTTGCACTCAAGTCCATCTAATGTAAACCGGACTCTCTCCAACAACATCCACCTGGAAAACTCATCGCCAAGAACTTGCGGGTGACCGTCACCACCACCCTTCAATATTTCAGATATAGAAGGAAATTATGAAGTTGCGTGAGAGAAATACATGTATCATAATTTGCTGAATACCTTCCGTGGAATCACAAGATAGAAGTCTTCAAATGTTGGCATACTATTGTAACCAGCAAAGTCACCAATGAGATTTACCCTCAGAAAGTTATCTTTAGAAACAACTGTTTTATTCTCTGGACTAACAATAACCTCCTGCAGTGTAATGTCAAATTCTTAAAGGCGTACTGCTGTTGCATAAGTGCTTTGCATACTCGAAGTTGAAAACAGCAAACCAGATATAAGAACAGAAAAGTAGTCCTTTGGACGATACTTTGATTTTATAAATAAATAGAATATTGAGAATATTAGTCCTTAAAGGGGTACAAGATCGAACAATAAAAGCGCAGTAAGCCAAGGCTCCCAGACTTGGTAGAACTCCAGTTAGCAAAGGCATGTGAAAAATATAATATCGTCATCAGGAGGATTGTATTTTGCTTGTGCCTATTCGTGCCAACATATTGTCAGCATGTACATAATCATGGTAATTTCTTCAAGAGTCTGTATTCTATACTAGCCTTACAAGTAACAGTGCAGAATTTTAGTGCCTACCGTTACAGAAGAGCCTTTCTTTACTTGTACTCTGATGCTGTACCCAGTAAAACTTTTCTTAATTCCAAAAACATGATACCTGTTTATAAGCAATGGAGATACAGTGATACACAGATTTACTCAAATTTTGACCTGAATAATGATAAAAAAATTGAATGGTGTGAACAGCCTATAAGTTTGGCATGAGCATATACTCCAAGATTCTACTTAAAAACAAATAAATAAACTAGATCACCATTAATCCCCAAAATATGAACTGCCTACTTGATGATGTTAGCAAAGGAAAAGAAAGTACTATGACCGTGTCAGACCGAAATAAGAAGTACAAGATATTAGGATATCGTGTCAATTCAAACTCAACAGGTGGAGTTCTTAAGACAATATTTATAAATATTACAAAGATATCTCACAATTAATGCCCATACCAATCACCTGGAAAACGTACACAGTGAGCCGTATTAGCTTTGCCTTTAATCATTTTATCAACTGCAAGGAAGATGCATGTGAAAGGTGTGACACAATGTTATACTGAAAATGCAGGAATGCTAAAAAAAAATTGTTAACTCACAAATTGATCCGCAAGACGAACCAACACGGCGATGAGGCCCACATGGACAGCAAACCGGCTAGTGCAATGCAAAGTGTAGAGAAAACATTAGATTTACCGTGAAAAAGAGAGGAAACATTAGAATCATGAGATTGTAGATCATAGCTACATGTAAAATACAATAACAAACTAAACGAGTATATGACATGCAGATACATTCATTGCACAAGCACGTTGAAAAGAACTTCATATGTGCCTTTATTTTTCTCAAAAAAAAATCAACAAAGGGTGGATTTTATTGGTTCAAAATGGAGCATCAAGAGGATACAAACACTATGAGCACACACCCGGCCTCTGCATAGCTAGGATGCACACAGCCAACACCAACACACGAACACAAAAACACGCCAGCACCTAGCAAAGTCATATAAGACTAAAGCTATGCGCAGGCGAGGAAAAAAAAGCCCCAAAGCAATCAGATCCGCGGTTTATTTGGTCAAAAAGTGTTTGGTTCAATATTGCTACTACTCAAGACACTGAGATAATAAAATAAGGATGACAAAGGCCAGTGCG